TTGGGGACTGGAACTTTTAGGGGATTTTGCCCATTATTTTCCTTCTTTAATGGTTTGTGCTATGCAAATATTGACCAATAACCTGCTGCTGTTCATAGATAGGTGCAGTTTTGATGGAAAGCAACAGGGGTACGTATACATGTTGATATTACTGATTACCGCTGTGCATCAGCCAATGCTAGGAATTATGTAAAATGGAAAAATTTTTTTTAAATGGTAGTGAAGCAGCGGCGTTCTCCGGGCATTAGCAGTACATAGCTTATCAATGTTATTCCTATTGTGACTCGTTTTCAGGTGCTGGTGATGCCGATGCGTTCTGGCGCTCGTGGCCTCAATCTCACTGTCGCTAATAATATTATATTTGTAGAGCCACAAATGGATGTCTCTTGCATTGCCCAAGTATGTTTTGCTCTTCTACCGCTTTTTGTACGTCAAAAGACAGTCCCATTCCGCCTACTTCGCAACCGCATTTGGTCCTTATAAGAAGCGGAAGCATAGGGGAGGTAATTAAGAGAGACAGCAAATGCCAACAGCAACCATTCGATGAAACGCTAACAGCAACCACTCGATGGTAAGTGCCAACGGTAACCACTCAATGGCAAATGCCAAGAGCAACCACTCAATGGCAAGTGCCAACAGCAACCACTCGATGGCAAATGCCAACAGCAACCACTCAGCGGCGAGTGCCAATAGTAACCACTCGGCGGTAAATGCCAACAGCAACCACTCGATGGCTAGTGCCAACGGTAATCACTCAATGGCCAGCGCCAACAGCAACCACTCGATGGCTAGTGCCAACGGTAACCACTCAATGGCCAGCGCCAACAGCAACCACTCGATGGCAACTCGATGGCAAATGCCAACAGCAGCCATTCAATAGCAAATGCCAACAGCGACCATTCAATGGCAACTGACAACAGCAACCACTCGATGGCAAATGCCAATAGCAGCCACTCGATGGCCAGTGCCAACAGCGACCACTCAATGGCAACTGGGAACAGCAACCACTCGATGGCCTGTGCCAACAGCAACTACTCGAAGGCCAGTGCCAACAGCAGCCATTCAGTGGCCAAGTGCCAGCAGCAGCCACTCGATGGCCAATGCCAACGGCAACCACTCGATGGCAAATGCCAACAGCAACCACTCAATGGCATGTAGATAGTTTCGCCTTTGACGGTTGTTGTAAACAAACTGATGACTGGTTTTAACTCCCTGGCAGGTGTAAAAAAAATGTCAAACTGTTTTTAACAGAGTTTTCCGGATCATCACAAACTGCTGCTTTAAAAACAGTATTGAAATGTGTATACACACTGTCCTGCTTGCTAAATACATCGCCAAAACCTTTGTGTAACTGATGATTGGGTTTCAATCAAAAATGTGATAATTGTTGACTAGAAATGTGAGCGATAGTTACTGTTGCAGGCGATTGGCCGAATTGATCGTATTGGGCAGAAAAAAGCGATGGTTATACATCATTTTGCAGTATTCGGTTCCATTGAAGAGCAAATTTATTATAAATATTCTACGAATAATGAGAAAGACTGGACTATTAAAAGCATTTTTGATCTCATTGGTATGTGATGTAGTTCGTTTCCTTCATCAGCATATAAAAGCATCGTACCATTTTCTCGAAATATCAGAAAAACAGCCAAACCTTGGACATTGTTAGCATTTTTTTTCATTTACGCGTAGCTCTTGTGTACGGGCACTTAAATTTTTAACGTGAAAATTACTCATTGAACAGCTAGGTCATTTACAAAGAATGACTGCTAAACGGAAATTGTTTATTTCCTTTTATGCAAAATTTGCGATGATTTATGGTATTGGGCGCGCAAGGTAGGTGTGAAGAAACACCGTTCATTCAGTTAACCTAATTACTTCAAGTTCGGTGCAAAAACCCATGATCGCACCAGCTTGCCTGGTGCATTCCAGCCTGGGTTTGTTACGATATGATGATTTTGAAGTGAATTTTGCTGAAATTACAGGTATATCAAATGAAAGTACATAGACTGTGCGATACGATTATCAAGGCAACCTGCTCAAAAAAAGTCTGCAGAGGGTTCACGGAATTTTAAATGTTACTTGTTGTTGATTTTTAAATCAGTTTTCTGTGTTTT